GTGGGCCTGCGACAGCGCGCGCATAGCATGGGCGCTGCGAGGTTAGCAGCACGTTGGCCTGCGCGGCAAGGGCGTGCGACTGACGGTGCTTGCGTGCGAGTGGCCTCTCAATAGGCTTATCCTTGAAATAAGGCCACTTGCTTGACCTCTCTTCTTCTCCACGCTTCCTCTTGACCCTAGTGGGTTCTTCATTGGCCTTCAAAATAGTCAAAATTTGTTGATGTGTCCAATGAAGTCTCCTTCGTTTGGGGGGTCTTTCCTCAAGTTTTCTTCATTGTTGGTGTAGGTGTCATTTTGGAGTGTTGGGTCAAATATGATCACCTCACCACCCCTATGGTGCCCTATCCTTGGCGTTAAAACAAGTGACTTTCCGCCCACTCTATTGCATTTTTAGGAATCTCCCTATTCTTAATCTTTTTCAAAATAATTGTGAGATTTATTTTATTTGCATTTTAGATTTAGCAAGTATTTTGAGTTTTAGGAAAAGATTTTTTTAGTTTATTTTATTTTATCAAAATTAGTTTAAGGAAATGATTACTTTACTTGATTAGGAAGTTGACAATTTAAATGAAATATCTTTTCATTATTTTGTTTTATTTTTTCTTTTTCTTTTACAATTTTCTTGTAAAGGCCATGGGCTATAGCCTACAATAGGCGTGTTCTCCTTCATTGTAAAATAGCTTAAAATCAAGTAAAAATCGAGTTGAGTGTTTCTCTCATTGTCGTGTGCAAACCCACCCACCCCGCCCCCTAAATATCGATTTTCTTTGTATGGTTGAACTTAGGATCTCATGTTTTACCCCTCGGAGCGTGCTTGTTTGATTCATCATCAAACTCGTGGAGTGTTTCCGACCTCGAGCATAGTGAGTATTCTGTCTGCTCAAGGTAACGATTGCAAAAGTAATTCATCTAACACTTAGCCTTTCAGGTTGAACTACTTATACGATTGGATTCAAGTGTCTAGAGACTTGAGTAGTTTGTTTGTGTTCAGCATCCAAAAATCTTTCCAACAAACAAAGTTTCACTTTAATCTGAGCCTCGAAGCCAATGTTATCAATTTTTCTTCAAATCCAGAATTTGAGAGAAACCTACATAGAACCAAATCCAGGAGCTGAACTTTAAATACCATAATTTTCTGCTCCAAAGTTCAAATTGAGTGAAATTGATGTCATTAGAAAGATCTCTRAGTTAGCTTTCCAAAGAGACTAGAATCGATAATTTTGGATATGTGATCTGAAAGTTATCGAATTTTTAGTGAGCATTATTTCTAGAAAAATCCTACAGCAGCCGAGAGTTCCCTGTACCAACTTCGACGATTTATATTTCACTGACCTTTTTGTTGTTTATAGTCAAATGAGCTTTCCAAGTACATCAAGATCGTAGCTATCCAAGGTCTGCAACAAAAGTTATCGGTAATTGAAGAGAAGATGTCCAGGCATAAAACTTTCCATATTTGGAGCTCGACGATTTTGGAAAAAAAAATTTGGGCAATCAAATCTGGTCCAAATCGATTTATTTGTTTGCAAGTAATCCTTGTTTATTCTTTACATTAAAAATATTTTGGGATTATTTTTCCAACATAGGACAACCCTAAAGAAGGACAGCCACCACACCCCTTGGACCACCCTAGAGAGAGAGTCTTTTATGCAGCCCCATACTTCTTTTGAGAGCGCAGCCCCTCAAAATGATTTCAAACCATTTTGGAAGCCCAAGTAAGTCAAGTACACCCGTTGTGATTCATTTGGCCACTGGTTTGAACCCCATCCAAGTCGTATACATCACGCACCCCTCACCCAAAGTCACCCGACCTCTTGCCACCAAAACCCACTATTTTGTTGGTAAGTTATTTTTGTGTGTGTTTGAACTATGCATTGGATTTTGTACATCTTTTAAAGTTGATTTTTGTTTTCATTAATTTTTATTGCATAGTCCTTCCATTGTTGTGCTTTGACTTCAATTTTGAATATTGTGGTCGAGTCTCAAGTCACCAAGAGCATTAGGCCGAAGGTTTTTGCATCTTGTTTTCTTAGTATCCTTTGTCATCATTCGGTATCATTGCTCTTATGATTTGGTTGTTTCTTTCTTTCCTTTGTAATATCATTTGGTATCTTTTATATCATTTGTTTCCTTGTTGTCATTGGTATCATCTATATCATTGACCCATCCTCCATTAATAATAAAAAAAAAGTATCTTTGCATAGTTACTTGTAGCCTTTACTTGCTTTGTTCAAGTGTTGATTCGCCACGAGAAACCAAGCAAGCATCTCAAGGAAAGGGTATCTATACAACACCAACATTACCCCCACAAAAAGAGAGTAAGCTGCGAGATTAAGTGAGGTAGTGAGTGAGAGAAACTTATTTATTATTACTAACCTTTGCTTGCATAGATATGGAACCAAGAAGGGAGAGTTCACAAGGAGCCACCACCACTTCCAAGAAGAAGGAGTGAGTCTACATTGTAAGTATTCATTAGATGCTAGGAGATCTCTCAATGCACAATCTAGGGAAGATTCATTTGAGGAACATAGAGATAATCTTTTTTACACTAGATGCATAATAAATGCCACACCTTGTAGTGTTTGTATTGATAGTGGTAATTGCACTAATGTAATTAGCACCTATATAGTGGATAGATTGAACTTAGCCACCACACCAAATCCATGTCCATATAATTTGCAAGGTTTAACTAATAGTGGTAAAATAAAGGTCCAAAATCAAGTTAGAGTTTCATTTGCGATAGGTAGGTATAAATATGAGATTATTTATGATGTCATACCTATGCATGCTTGTGACATTTTATTTGGAAAACCACGACAATACGATAGGAAGGTGAAGTATGATGGTTTCCTTAATCGATGTACTTTTGCTAATAATGGAAAGAAACCCAAATTAATCACATTGTCATCAAAAGAAGTTCAAATTGATCAAATCAAGTTAGAGGAAAGAAGAAAAGAAGTCTCAACGAAGTAGGCTACCAAGTTGGAAGAAAGAATGAATGAGGTTGCAAT